TTAAATTAACAAATTGTTCACGCAAGACAAGTTACAGTTATAAAAAGTTAGGTTAGTTGTTAATTTCATAATATTTTGTAGTTTCAAATTGTATTACAATTTACTTAATGCTCTAACCTAGTCTTCTTAGGTTAGGTTAGGTATTATTGCTAAATGTTGTAGAATTACTTTGTTACAAATTATGAATATTACGGTAGGTTAGGGTTATATACATTCCTACATACTATAAAGACTTACAATTTTGTAATATTGAAAATATTTTATATTTTTCAGATCAATTCATTTACATACCAAATTATGAACAGGGAACTTAAAGTTTCAGCTTGCGGTTTCTTTTCTGTAAATTTATCATTTTTTCATGCGGTAGATACCTATTTAATATAATTTAACATGTTTACTGGTTAGGTATATAACCTAACATAATCTAATAAGTGTAAGTTATTACGTTTTACCTTTTTGATAGCATAATTGTGAACTACCAATTATTGACAGATTAGAAAAATAATCTGAAAACAGGAATTCAATTTATATCTAAAATTCGTAGAATTTTTCGAGCTATGTCATCGATTTAGATTTTTCATATCGCTGTATAATTGATGAAGAAATCAATTGAAAACAATACAACTAAAACTACGACACCCAAAAATGCCAATTATAATACTTTATATTAATTATTGTAACCGAGTTTACACAAATTGGAGACATTAAGAGGTACCTACCTTAAATTACCTAAAAGGTAAAATAATTTTTTTTCTTTAAGTCAGTATTATAAAATAATGTGTATAATTATGTAATACTCCTACATGTGATACAATTGCGCGAAGAAAATATACAAATTAGAATTTATTAATCTATAAAAATATACAAAATGTATTATTATTCATAAATACACAATACATTTTCAATAGTAGGGATTGATAATTTTGTCTATGGAAATCTTGATTAAAACTCAACTAACTAATGATACAAGTTTTCTAAAAAAATTGTTTTTATAATAATACATATTATATTAATAAATAGTAGTTATTCCGACCAGGCTTCACCCGCCTACCATACTGTTTTTAGTCCTCTCTATCTTAGTCCTTAGCTGTAATCAGTAACAAATCGATGCAAGTAGACAGATAAACATGTTCGCATAGTGTTATTCAAAAAGGTGCGGCTACTGAACTATATATTTGGGAGGCGTATTGGGTATAATTTACATTGGTTAAATGCCGTGTAGGATGTCGCCATTAAGATACGTTTCTGAAATGTACTTACCGTATCTAACTAAATTTAGTCTAATAAAATTTGTTAATCGATAACTTCAAACTTATAGTTTTTTTTTCAGTTGATAATTTACACCAATAAATAAATATTATTTAATCTATGATATTAATAATTAATATAATCATAAACATTTTTAAAGTATTTTATTTTATTCCTATAATTTACTGGTCAGGTTTAAAGGTATTTTATGTGAACTTATAAATTAATGTATAATAGGTTTGTATAAATCAGTTAACCTAACTTACAACTTTATTACATGACCATCTCACAAGAAATATTTTCATTTTATACAGTTGTTAATTTCTTTTACTATAAATTCTGCAGTGTATTTGTATACAATTACTGACAAAAATAAATAAATTAGTTATACTATAAACTATAAAGTTATATGAAAGTATGTATTATTTATTTTTTACAATAATATTTGAACTATTTATGTTCATTATTATTGGAGAAGTTACAGTTGTGATCAATGAATTATATTTAATACTATGTTTATGTAATGCATCATCACGGCCACGATTAATTTTTCTATTTGTAGTGATAGTAAACGTTTCAATTTTCTCTATGTTAAATAAATCAAAATTGTCAGATATTATTGGCTAATTCAATTTACTAGTAAGTCAAATGAATGAAACACCATAGCTTTTTATCATTCCACATTACTTGTAAAACAAATGAGGTACCTGAATATACAATACTATCTTTCTACATGTAACATCAAGATCGAAATTATTATTTCTATAACTTGGATCATCGGTAGATATAATAATTTTTTTAATATTTTGTATACAATGTATACACACCACCAACTTGAAAACTTACTTTAAAAAAACTAAAACTTTTTTCTATGCTTTTCAGGTAATGCAGCATTTAAAGACCATAATGTTTATTTAATATTTTAAACGACACAAGTCAAATACCGTCAACAGATCATATGATAAAATAATAAAGTACACAGTATTTGATTCAGTATAAAGTGTTTATTTGCAATAAATAATAGTATACTTACAATGAATTATAAATTTACATTTGCACAACATTATATACGGTGGGGGTGGCTAATTATGCAAGATGTAAATTGGAGGATTTCGGATGCTAAACAACGCACAGTACGTATACTGAACTAGTGGAGTATTAGAGTGACCAACTGACAATTAGGTATAGCATATAATATTATAATAATTTAATATGTGTACCTAATAGTTCAAATTTATCCCTTGTAATGGACGGAAAATAATGAATATTTATGAATCAAATATTTGATAATCATAATCACATATTCACATATCGTGGGAAAAAAATACATCATTTCTTCCATGACGAAAGAAAAATTTGGCGACATCCTAGTCGGACCAGATTTCAGTCCCGACGTTCCTTTCATAAATATAGTTCAGTGGGTGCGACCAATAAGGCAGTTAGAAAAAACGTTCTAACAATATAATTTAATGATCACATTTTTGTTTTTGTTTTTGTTTTTGTAGCTTATACGTTTGGCCACTACATACCTGATTGTTATAATTCAATACAACTCGGAACCTCCGAAACCAGTTTAATATATGGTAGTTGAAAAATAAAACGTTCTCATCAGTCAACATACCAGTACTTCTACGAATACACATATAAATATAGACTAAAATATACAAACTTAATATTGATGATTTAATTAAAATAAGTTAATCATTAAAATGTATCAAATTTAAATACAAAAAACCATTAACACAGTTTAAATTCTTCAAATTTATTTCATTAAGTGTATCAATATATGTAATTGAATATCCAAGCTCACAGGTATGTTAGGTATTTGGGCAGGCGCGGATCTAGAACATATTTACGGGGGTGGGGGTAGGGGATTTTTTTCTCAACTTTAAATATAGTGGTTTCTGGTAGAAAATTGAATCTAATTGGGACTGAAAAGAAGTAAACAGAGAATGTTCGGTAGTTTTTGTTTTTTTAATCCTTTATACGGCAGAACGTAAAAAAACATCCAATGATTCTGGAAATGTGTACATATATGGTAAGGAGTACTTGGATTTTAGGAAAAATATTGGGAATATGTTAATATGATAACAATAGCTGGAAAAGTGGTGGGAAAATAGTATCCCATTGCCCATCTATATTCTATGGTAAACAAAATCTGCATCGGTAATTGATATATTATATTTCACAACCAAGAAAAAATATACCTAGTTATTATTTTATAAAAGTAAGAAAAACAATTGTCTTTAAAAAGTTGATAAATGTTGAATATTAATAATTATAATTTTACACAAAAAATAAAAAAAATAAACCAGCTTTATTAAAGTTAACTAAATAAAAACTTCTTTCTTTGAATAATTAAAATAATAACATTTTTTGTAATCCTTTTCATAACTGTGTAATAAACAATATAATATAATGTAATACTAATACAAAATAAATAACCAAACTTTTTCAACTTAAAAAATAAAATAGATTAAGTCTTTAGGTTCCTGTTAGTAATAGAAATAACAACAAATAGTGTAAATATTTTAAATATTTGATAATATCATTGTGGTAAAATAATTTTCTTTCTTAGAATAGAAAAACTAATTACATTTTTGTAATCCCTTTCATAACAATTGAAAAAATATTATAATAAATAATATAAAATAATAAATCTAATAATTCAAAGATAACAATGTAACAACATTTTAAAATATGAATTGGTTAATTTATATCAAAATAACATTTTTTGTACTTCAAATAATATATATAAATAAAAACAAAATAGTTTAAGAATTTATGTTTCTTGTAATAGTTGTAGGTAATAATATTTAAGTTGAATACAAATAAATACATGTAATGTATTTGGATATTTATTTTTTGTGGTATGGTTCAAAACGAATTTTACATAGAGTCACCTCACAAGTTTTGCATACTATATGAGACTTTCTTTCATTTTTTTTAGTACTGCACATTTTACATTGCCTATAATAAATTATAAATGTTGGCAAATGTTGAACATTATCAAATTATGGACTATTGATAGACAATTTAATTTTTTTTTTTTTTATAATTCTATCTTGAGGCGAGGAAGTTTTTTTCTAGAAATAAAATTACTTATAAGCTCATCAGTAAGTCTTGATCTGAATTCCAATTGATTAATATATTTTGGTTTTATTGTATTGCAACTTTCTTTGTATAAAATAAATGAATTTACAACAGCAGTATTAATCATTTAATAAAATAACTTCAACCACCAACGACGAGACTTTGAGGTAATTGATTTGGTGCATGTTTTCGAAAATCAAGTTTTAGAATGCTGAGTTTTAGAATGACAAGATTTAGAAAATCTATATTTTAGAATATGTAACTTTTAGAAAATCTATGTTTTAGAAAAATATTAAATGATGTTTAGAAAATAAAAGAAATAAATACAGAGTTTTTAAATAAAATACTGTCGTTTTTTGTAATAGAATTTACGATACATAGTGTACAAATTATGATACTTTTAAAAATCTGTAATTAGTGTTTGTTTATTTGTTTTTTTGATCGGGAAGACGGGAAATGTCAAAATACATAATATTTATAAATATAATGCTTAAAAATTATTAAATATGTAAAATAAATAATTAAATAGTCGATGATTCTAATTACAATTTAGATGAATTTAATAATTCTAAAACAGTGTTTCTATAACTCGGCATTCTAAAATATGACTTTCTAAAACCTGCCTCAATACCTGAATAATTAGCCATATATTGGTCGAATTAGTCCACACCACCTATATGCTTGTTGTAGTCCGATATACCTACTGGACATTTCACTGCAATTTTTTCTCCTTTTTTATTTTTTCTGTTGATCATAGTGTACTCTGATGCATTATGCATATTACTAATTAATGTATTTGGTTTTACAACTTTTTCTTTCCATCTCATCACACTAATGTTTTTTGATTGTGCATACTCTATATCACCAGGCATATATTTTTTATCATTTTTCATTAAAAGTGTAGAGATGAGTGGTATACTTGTAAAGAAATTCTCAAAATAAATACAATAAAATTTATTTTTAAATGTATCAGTTAGCGAAAGAACCACATTTTCTCTCAAACCATATGGAACATTACCATCTGTTTTTCCTGTGTACACGTCAAAGTTTAATAAAAATCCACTTTGAGAATCAGCTAAAGCCCAAACTTTAAAGCCTCGTTTTATTGGTTTCAGTGGCATAAATTGTATCATTGATGAACGACCTTTGAATGCAACCATATTCTCATAAACAGCAGTGTCTTGACGGCTTGTACATAGTTTTATAGGTTTCTTGTAAATGATATAGCAGAGGACGAATTTTATAAAGTTTGTCAAACTCTTGAGACTGCCTTTGGAGCAATTTTGATTTGTCATTAAGATGAATAAAGCGAAGGAGTTTTAAAAACCGTTTAACTGTCATTACTTATGCAACTCGATCACAATAAAAATTTGGATCATTTGACAAATACAATCTAATACCTGGTACCTCGTGGTAACCCATACATATATCAGTATCCGCAGAAAAGATTTTAATTCTTCAATGTTGGTGTTTAATGATATATTATGCAGTTCAGCATACAAATTAGATTCAATTCCAATTTTTTGATACATATTACTCATGATCATATCAAATATCTGTTAAGGAGACATTTTATAAATATATTTATTACCTGAACCATGAACTTCTCTAAAACGAGTCACCTTATACTTTTCTGAAGAATATCCTGATTTTTCAAAATTGAAGTCAAATTTATTAGGTGGATTTTCTACAATAAGATCTGCAGTAACGTCATTAAATATATTTTCTTCGTCGAGCCCATTATTTTGTTAAAATAAACACAAATACAAATACTTCCACTCTAAGTACTAAAAAAAAAAACAGTATCTTGTTTAGTAATAGTATTTTTATTTTACAGCCGAAAATATACAAAGTGACTACGTGAGTGTTGATAATGTTATGACACAAAGTGTAAATGTTGAAAAATAGTTTTGTAATTCAGTTAATAATTGTTGACACAATATGGTCTTGTTGAAAAACAAAAATAGTTAGTGTTTGAACAAAAACATGGCCTTTCCAAAATCATTAAGAAAAAAAAATGTATAATCTATTATTCTATTACCATAAAAAAATGCCGGCAGGTAGTAGTTAACACCTTAACTACAAAAAAAAACAACAGGCAAGACACTAAAAGCTTTGTAGGGGATTGACACGGGATGGCGATGTGGGTTTGTACTCAATAGCTACTGGTCACCTCCATACGTCCCCACGACCAGTCGCGTGGGCGGATGAGTACAACCCCCGGCGTGTTTGTTCGCAGAGACAATCATCTAGACTCTACAGGGATGGCCAACCCGCGGCCCGCCTTGGAAAGTTTTGCGGCCCGCGACATTTATCAAATATTTACAAAAAAAAAATTATTTTTGCGCCGATAGAATAGTCTGGAATGCCCGCGCAACGCGGTATCTGTATTATTAACAACGTAATCGCAATAAAAGTAATAATTCTAATCTAATCTGAAAATATATACGAGTAGACACCAGTTTATAGAAATATAGCAAATTGTATTGTTAAAATAAAACGTGACTAATAACAGTCATTATCTGTCCGTTCGCTGTGACTGTTGTAGTGCGTTCAGTGTGGAAAAATATTGAAGTAGGTACGTACTTTTTTTATTATTTTATTATATATTTTAAATATGAGTGGTGCAAAGAAAAGAAAAATAGTAGACGAAAATAGAAAGTACAGTAAGGAGTGGGAAGAAAAGTACTTCTTTATAATTCAAAACACAAAATTAATGTGTTTGATTTGCCGAGAAACAGTCGCAGTATTTAAAGAATATAACGTTAAAAGGCATTATGAAACTAAACATAATGATTATTTGAAATTTAGTAGTGAAGTGAAACAATCGAAGCTCAGGGAATTTATGTCACAATTAAAAACTCAACAAAAAATGTTTAGTTCAGCATTACAGCAACCATCTAATATCGTTAAAGCAAGTTATTCTGTCTCATTTTTGATTGCAAAAAAAATAAAAAAATTTTCAGATGGTGAATTTGTGAAAGAATGTTTGGAAGCTGTAGCAAAGGATATTTTACCGGATAAAAATAAACTATTTTCGAATATAAGTTTATCCCGACAAACAGTATGTCGTCGAATTAATGACATTTCAAACGAAATTATTGTAAAACTACGCGATCGAATTCAAGATTTCAAATATTTTTCTATTGCATTTGACGAAAGTACAGATATATCAGATACAGCTCAACTTGTAATATTCGTTCGTGGAGTAAATGAATCATTTCAAATAACTGAAGAAATGTTAAAATTGATAAGTTTGAAAGATCTAGATTCTAGACGACTGGTTTGGGCTCGACCACAAGGGCCGCTCAAGCGACTTGTCGATTAGTGGCGGGGTGGCTAGTGACGAGATGTTATGCGCTAGACCAGCGTTTCTCAAAGCGTGGGTCGGGAACATTTTTTTGAATTATATAGATTCCAAGAAATTTATGTTAGGTACCTTATTATAAAAAGTACATTTTAATTATATTAATTATATTTTTATTCATTTTAATTATAAACCTATAAAAAAACTAAATACCTAATAAAAATGTATACATATTTATGATACAAATTTTGTTTTCCAAAAATTGTTGAAAAGTGAAACAATATGGGTCGCGAAAGAATTGTCGGGGGAAATTTAGGTCCCGGTATTAAAAAGATTGAGAACTACTGCGCTAGACGATTGGCTGGTGCTGAGGACGACTGTCATGGCGTTGACGGTGGAGACAAAAGCACTGGGCTAACGAATTCAGTTGTGATTGCTACGGAATTGATGGATACCGGAGGCCGATAGGACCGCCACCGGGCAAAAAGGGGAGAGCATTAGGGGACTGCGCTGCGATGCACCACGATCCTGATACTTCCGCTATTTTTATCCGGCGGCCGTCCGGAAGTTTCGCGCTAGGTCTACTCTGAAACTCGTAATTGAATTTCCAAGGGTCCAGCGATGCTGTGATTTCCAATTCCTAGCTTAGCTCTATCACTCACCCGTCTCCACAACTCACTTTTGTGCCTCTCTCCCATCGCCGAAGTACTGTCGGGGCGGAATCGGTGCCCACGGAGGTACAACTAGCCACCGCGCCATGTCGACGTACGTCACTACAAGGTTAGCCGGGCCCTCGGAGAGTCACCAGATGGTCTCGCCAACAACCGCTAACTCATCGCGAGTGGCTGGGGTACGTATTTGGATGACATACCGCCTTTTACCTCGTGCACTTTCCCGTGTCAATCCCCTACGTGTGCTTCCGTCTTGCCCTGTGCTCCTCGGCCGAGGAGGAGGGAGCCATGAACTCCGGGTTACTCCCCTCGGAGGCAACCACACACCCGTCTTACGCCTCTCCGGGCCGCGGCTACGATCCTCCGTGATTGCCAGCCTGGAGGTTTCCAGCATGTCGGTTCACACAGCTCCTCAACTTTAGCTTCAGCATCGACCGGAACGTCTTCCATTAACACTATTTAATCGTCTACTGAATTATCTGCAGCCTGCTCCTTCGGTCCGACATCCATTATCGCATCTTTTCCAGGCGACCCGGGCGCTTCTAGGAGATGCGATATTTTGTCACCACAGGCAAATTCCTAATCCACATCTTTGCACAATGTTTCGTTGATGTCGTCTAGAAGAGACGACATGACTTCGTCTAATGATTCCACTTCGGGCGGCATGATATCATTGGTTGTATCTTCTACTTCTACTACGTCGATTGAATCGCATATGGTATCTTCTGTTTGAATGGTAGGACCGGTTTTTTATGGTTGGTGCGATGCCTGAAATTCAATTGAATTTTATTAATAAAAATACTTCATCTCTAGACCTCAACCTTCCTGATACTTCAAAGAAAATAACTAGCAGTATCACTTTAACACCTCATCACACTAGCAAAAATAGATTCTCTCTACTACTAACTCTCCAAGACACCAGTGAAATGCACACTATTACAGAAAACGACAATACTCAGCAACCACAGGTCAGACCTAAAATTCCACCTATTTATGTTTATAATATTTCCGATTACGAAAACGTTCATTTGACAATTTCTCTATGGCAAATACTAAATCTGCCCTAAAAATTAATTTAAACTCGATAGACGACAATAGAACCACAACTGAACTTTTCGATGAGGCCGAAATTGAATACCACACTTACCAACTTAATGAAATAAATAACTATCGGTACTTATTAGAAATCTTTCTATAAACACATCGGAAGCTTGTATAACGAACTTCGAGAACTTAAATTTGAAGTCGCTTCTGTCACACGCCTACAAAACCAATTCAAATCGCCAATACCAACCGTAGCAGTTTTGTTATCAAAATCATCTACTGAAATATTTTTCTTAAACTGACTTCTACATTGCGTAATAATAGTAGAACTACGAAAACTCTCCAAGGATATCCCACAATGTACAGACTGTCAAAGATTCTCCCACCATAGGGGGCTCTAGGGGCTAAGCCCTCCCAAACACGGTTGAAGAATGGAATTTATTGAATAAACTTACTGCTGTAGTAACTGATAACGCTGCTAATATTATAGCAGCAATCAGAAAGTATAATTGGAGATGGCTATCTTGCTTTGCACATTCCGTTAATTTAACTGTCCAATCTAGCTTGAAAAGTATTGATTCTACTCTAACAAAAGTAAAAAGCATAGTATAGTATTTTAAAAGAAGTTCGCACGCCCAGGCAAAATTAAACGATTATCAAAAACAAATTGGTTCACCTATTTTAAAACTCAAGCAGGATTATCCAACGCTATGGAATTCGACATATGACATGCTTAATGGACTAATTGCAATTAAAGATCCAATTATTGCCACTTGCAGTTTTAGGTAATCCAGAGTTAAACTGATTGAAAACACAAGACTGGATTATATTGGAAAATGCCCGGGCCATTTTGAAAATCTTTTATGAAGTGACTACATAAATAAGTATTGAAAAATAAGTAACTTTATCTAAAGAAATAATTTTTATCAAAACATTAAATAAGTTGTTTTAAATTTTATTAATATCAATAAATTACCAAAAGAAATGAATTCTATTGGTCAGGTTTTAAAGGATGAGCTGCTTGTAAGATTTGATGGTATCGACGAGAACATCTTACTATACTTACCAATCTATAACTTTTCTATTGCACTTGTTACACATATGTTTATGGATATTTGATGTGTTATTTAAGTTTACT